CCCCAGAGTGAACTTCACGGTGCTGCAAACAGAAGTGCGGATTATACGTCCAAAAATACAGTGAGCAGGTTGTGCTGAACTGCAGTCAGCAGAATTGCCCCTCCATCACAGCCAAACCTGTTCTCAGGCACTGCGGCTACTTTTCCAACCATCTTCAGCTTAATGAGGCATCAAACCGCCCCGATGCTCAAATATCTGTTCGAATTCCAGGAGGTGATTCCTTTTCATCTCAATTAATGAACGAATGCCATGGGGGGCCATGAACGAATGTGTCAAAACAGCAGAACAAACACTGACAGGAGTCTACGGCTGCAACAGCTACGTCATGAAGGTTGAATGCAGTAAACATAATCATTTAAATCCAGACTCCCTGCTGAGGGCAACTAAAAACCACTTCAGGATGGACAGCTAAGGAAGTTTTGGTATCGCATGCAATATCTGCATTTATAAGGACAGGCGATCATTGGTCGTAAGCAGAGGTCGTATTTGTATTTGTCCCAGATGTGTCGTGTTCCGAAATGGGCTGGAATGGGCCTATCCTGCAAGGGTCTACGAGCTCCTATGAACCAGTACTGCCAAAAAGGCTCCTTAAAATACCTCATGTACCCTAAAAAAGCCCCAAAAAACAAACTTCTTACAGTCCAGGTAAATGAAGCTAATAACGCAAATGAGCACAAACATCAAAATATGACAACGTTAAACCTGAGAACGAGTCATGCAAAGTCAACCACAGCAACCTGACAGCCCCTCGTTAACCACATAGTTCCTCAGTTCTCTCCTAGTGAGGAAGAAAACTACGGTTAAGATACAGTTGGTGTTCCGACAGCTTTTTAAGGATTTTGGGCCACCCAGTCATGACTCACATTAACTTTCTGAAGGACCGAGGTAATCGACCATGTGGCCCAACAACTCGTGCTACAAAGATTGTGCCCAACTCATTCCATGGAGCTGGACAGCATTTCATTATCATTGTTTCATGAAAATCACCAAAAACCATTAGCATGACTAACATAACCAGGAACTAAAGGGGGGGGGGGAGGAGACAATGTAAGACAAGTGAAGTGAAGTGAAGTGAGGAAGTCCAGCTGGCAGTGGGGGGATCATTGTACAGACAGCTGAAGGGCTGGCTAGGGGCAAAGGAGCAGAAGATGGATCAGGATTTCATCATTCCTACTCCCAGTGCCACCCAAAAGAGGAAGAAGAGAAGTAAAGCTGGTTTGGGGGTGTGCAGTGGGGTGCTAGGGATATTCAATCTGCATTCCCAGAATGCCTTGGGGTAGTCATGTGCTGCTCCCTCTGCTGTGGGTGCACACCTGCCCCCCATGGTTAGGACACAGCAACTTGAAACTTGGAAGAGCTGCAGCAACTCACCACATTGCTTTTTGCTTACAGTGTAAGCAGCAGCATGACCTGTCATTGGACTGGGGTTGACGTACACATCCCAGTGTCAGAGTCAGTAAATACAATGGTCAGGCCATGGTTCACTAACAAAAGGCAGTCAAACCAATAAAAGAAACAGCCTTAGTTATAGCTGCCTTATACAACCGTGCCGACGTGGCCTCCACTCTTCAGCAGTGGATCTCTACTGCAGACACTGATATTCTCCAAAAGTGTAGAAGCCCTTTGACCCAGTCCCAGAGCTGAATGTTCTTGCCAAGGGGAAAAAAAAGCCCCAAAACATTTGTTTCATATAATAGTTCTTCAGAACAGTGACCAGTCTAATCCTATAAAGAAAAAGTGCTGAATTGAAAGTCTCTGGCAGAAAGAGGACAGACATTTCATCCAGACGCATGAAGCATCACAACCAACAGAGACGTAAAATGAATCCAGGAAACGTACCCCTTTATCTCCCTGGGGAAATACAGAAGTGCTCTTAGACACTTCTAGAAAATAATGATTAAATAAATTACATAAATTCATTCGGGATATTTATCAGGCGGGAGCCAGTGGGTCGGCAGTGATTCTGTATCGGACTGTAATCTGGAGACGTCGTTTGTCTGCCTTCTGCCCACCAGCTTTCCTTTCACCGATTCACTCCAAGCTCAGCGAGTGACGTCATTCTTCTCCGTTTCCCCATTAGCCTTTCCTGAGGTTCGCAACGTGCCAGGGCTCCTGTGCATCGGTACACCTTGCGGTCAAGCGGCCAGGCCACCTCTGCCGAACGGCACCGAAGGGGGCTGCGTCGGCATGGAGACCCTCGACAGGGGTAACAAACGCACCGGATCGCACGCAGAGCCATTTGTCCTTATTCTCCCACAGCGCCTCCCTGTGTCGCCCCAAACCTTGGGCCAGAATTTATTTCCTCGATACAGTCGAACAAAAGAGGCAGTCAGACTGAAGAGGCCTAGACCACAGGATGCATAGACCTGCTGAAAAGAAACTTGAAAATATCACTCACAGCATCTAGAAATAAGAGGGTGGTTGGCAAGAATCTGTGAACAGGAGACACAAACGAGAGTATTTCCAACCGTTTGACTAGCAGGAACGCCCACCCATCCCACCAGCCAGCGAGTCCTGCCCTAGGTTACACCACACCATCCCACATCAGTCCCAGGCTGCTTCAAAGGCACGAGCCGCAGATGTGAGGAACAGCTAGATCACACCCCGTTTCTGGAGTTCGACCTTCCCATCCCTTTAACCAGCTGCCCATGATTCAGCTAATAATGAAACATAAACAGGAGCCACTACTTGTGCATCGGATTCAGACTGTGCTTCTGGGCTTCCGATGCACACTCACCGACATCATTCAGTGAGTATGGAAAGGTGGGGTGAGATAGTATAATTCTACAAAAATATTCCGCCTTTCAATACCACGTCTGTCATTTCTCTCTCCAAGATGGAGGTATCGTTTAATGAACATATAAATAAACTAAACAAGCTAATAAGACAGGCTAAATAAATATATGTAAGAAAAGACAGGCAATGATGATAGAAGGTAAAATATAGATGGTAAAAGTGTCCATAATGAAATTCCTCCATTGTTCTGGTAAATGTTGAAATTGCAGTAAACAAGTTCTCCTGGCCGCAGCGCCACCTATTGGTTGCTTGCAAAAAAAGCAGCCCGGAAAAGAGAAAAACAACTTTGATTGGCAGTATATCCAGCATCACCACACAAAGACTCTGCCGAAAGCGTTAACAGTAAAAAATGGACAAGCACAAATTCCTGAAACACAAAACATCTTCCGCAAGAGGTGCAAAGCAAAATCATGTTTAAGTCACGGAAAAACACACGATTTCCGTATCGCTGTTATTTTACTTAGTCTCAAACATGAACGACCTTTCTTTACCATATTCAACAATAAAGGAAAGACAGAAAAGAATGTTTTGAGGACAATCTATTAAAAACACCATTTTGTGAGTATATGAATGACACTTTTTCTGCACGTGTATGTCTATACAGGTGATGTCATCCTCGAAATTCAACACAATAAGCATAATGATGGTTATAGGGAAGTAAGCAAATAATAATATAATATTTACTATACTGTGGCTGATGACACAAATGAACAGGCAAATAAAAATGCACTGGAATGTGCACTGTGCTTAATTCAAACCGAAAATATTACATGTGTGCAGCATTTGCATGCCAGTTAGTCATATATGTATAATCCCAATCTAATCCCCATCTAAACGGTTATTTTCCATTTCACACAAAAACATTCTAAAGTATATATTGGGTATTACTGCAATGAGCTAAAAACTAAATATTAACAGATCAGAAAAATCCGCATGCATGCATAGATATGTTGTTTCTGTAACCCATATACATTTGTATAATCTTCAGGGGTATATTCCGGCCAATCACCTTATTCAATTGTTGAAATCTAGCCTGCCATCTAAAGAAACCTTTGACAACTAAAGTCATCACTGAAAAAATGAAATCAAAAATGTTTTCCCTGATGTCTGACTGGACATCTTACGCCTTACTTTGCCTGTCCTTGCGAAACGAAACGTTTAATATTTAAGACTTGCTATTCGTGACTTAGCGTTAGCAAACTTTTCCTACTGAAACCAACGGTATGGTAATTATTAGAATTATAAGAATGAAACAAAGTATAATTGGTGATTTTTGGAATGTCTATATATATATCCGATTAGCTAAATGTGGATCACCGAACTGGTCGCTTTTAACTTTTGTTACTACCGTGTAATAAGACGTCGGTGGGAGTATTCATATTCGCTAACCAGCTTACCATACAAATAAAGCCAGACTGATCTAAATGACATGTAACAGCATTTTCGCCAAATTGTGGTGGGCCACTGTCCCGCAGAAATACTGGGTGCCAATCGCTGTAAACTCCCCCAAATCCGTTACCTAATTCATGAATGTTAGCAAGCTAACTGGCTAAACGATCCCCCCCCCCTTCAAAAAAAAGAAGAAAAAAAAGAACGCAAACTAGCTTGCTAACACGCTAATGTGCAAGAAATAGAGTAGGCAATTCAATCATATTCTTTACGCGTTTGTCAGTAAGTTTACCGACAAATCATGGCTTTTATTAATAATGACTTAATCTACAATTATGTGATGTCAGAACGTAAGATGTATTGCACTATCGAGCAACTCAAAAGTTATGAACAACAGTTCATTCATTCGCAGGTCCAAGAAAAAAATACTTATATCTGGTATATTGCATATTTTGACTTCAGGTTGTCTTTAACTGTTCTTGTATTGCTGTGCTAATGCATGTACGTAACAAGCTAGTTGAGGTATTAATCCGTTGTGATGCTCGTAATTACTCTCCGGTGACTGTCAGTTTGAATGCTAGTAAAAAAAAAAAAAAAATAACGACGCTTATGGCTAAAAGGAAAATAACCAGCAGGTTAAGGAGCCAGACAGATAAAGATACGTCTTTCAGGAGCAGTGAATGAATGAAAGAGACAGGGCACTTGCAACTTCAGAATAGCTGAACTAGCTAGGCAGCACTATAACAGGTCATTTATAACACATTTTCATACGTGCATATTTTGTCATCTAATAAGTACCTGGCTCTGGGCACGTTGGCATTGGGTTCCGAGGGGGTACTCCATCTTTTTCGTGCAGATGATCATTTTCTTCTGTCAGTGCATTGATCTAGATCCTTTAGTCTCTCTAGATGCTCAACTAACAAAGCGGAGCTGCTGCGCAGTCTACAAGGAGTAAGGGGGGGTTCTAACTGACAGCGCTAGATCCAGCTCATCCAATCACTGGAGAGAAGGGGCGGTATTCCGGGCACAGGGCTGTGGCCAATCAGCTCGCAGAAGCAGCATTTTTAGGTCCAAACTCTGGCTCCAGTATCTTGACCAATCCGCAGTGGAATCTTGTGGAAAAATACCTGTCAGTTAGCCAGATTTGCCCCGCCTCTAGACTGCAGTCTTAAGTCCTGACGGATGCTTTAACTTTATAGGCCGTAGGTCTGGCTGACTTTTAAAAGGCAACAGTATTTTATCTTAAGTCAGCACACACACACACACACACGCACATACATACATAAATATATACATACATGTATATATATATATGTATTTTTTTAAAAGACTTGTTATCACACGAAAATCTCACAATCTTAGTAGATTTAACATGGATGGAATATTTATACATGCACTTGTAACTCAATTGCCACATCCAGATTACAGCATTTACAAAAAAAATGAGAATATAAAATGTCTTCAGTTGTATATTATATGATTTGATACATATGTATATTACTCTTGGTTTACCATCTCCCAACCGCTTATCCTGGTGGGGGTTGCAGGGATTTGCTTATTATATAATTGCAGATCCCCACCAGAACTGATCTACCCTTCATATGTCTCCAAATGCATCAACACTATTGATAACTGCACATCAGCGAGGTTTAAACAAATATGAAGTCAACAGATTATTGTTTGTCCCTCTGTAATTCTGCACTCTGTTTATGTGGATTAACAAATGATGATTTGCCGTGCTGTTTTTCCAAAGCTGTGATGGTCACAGCACTCGCCACTGGGGAGTATCTACACACGAACTGAAGATGGTGTGTGTCTGTGTGTGTGAGAGTCTGTATTGGGGAAAGAAGGGAGGGGGGAGGTAGGGGTGGGGGGATGGGGAACCGAAGGGGGTGCCGAAGAGACCCGATGAGGCTCTGTTTTTTTTTAACACACTTTCACAACACCTACTTCCTGGGCATTCGCTAGAGAAGCCTGAGCTGCAAGTGGAAAATCACCAGACAGAAAAGGAGCAGAAAACAAGACATTAACAGTGAATAATCTGTAACAGGTGAAGCTGCTTTTCTCTGCCTCGCAAAGGGAAGGGGGGAGCAGCTGATCAATAAGGAGCCTTTCTTTTCTCCATGTTAAGCACTGTTGCACCTTAGTTTCAACTTTACCCACAACTGAAGCAACCTTTTTATTATTTTCTTTCTTATCTTGTTGAAAATCAGACACAACAGACCTGATACCAGTGAACTCTACCTCTATGTCTCACTTGTGGATAACACAAAAGAAAATAACCTTCTCTGGTATTCAAACATTAAATATCCACAGTCATTTGTTCTGTTTTGTTTCTTCTTAGCTTATGATGGATGCAGTTTATGCACTCATACCATTCACAATTAATTTCGGAACATCATCATTACTAGTTTTGACAAACTGAGGTGGTCTCACCAAATGAGCTTTCAGCCTGGGTCATGCTCAGGCTTGTTTCACCCAATTCAGCAACTGCTACAATAAAACAAATGCTGAGTTAATGAACAGTGAAGTCATTTAGGGTAAAGCATGTGGGAACTCAAGACAAGACACTCTGTTCAAACAGAGATGAAGTACTTGGTTGTGCTAATGACCAGGGAAAAAAATATATTTTAAGTGCCGGAAATCATGATGTCTGAACAAACAGATGAGTGAAGTACTGCAACACAAAGTCGTTTGTGTGCTGGCATAAGGAAGTGTCAGTAGTAGTAGAACTGTGTCTTGTGGTCATTAAGGATGATGACTTCAATCTGTGCATGAGCAGAGATTGTACATAGACAACATATAATAGGAATGCCTGGAGGTGCTATGTCTTATGTTGGCATTATTTAACTAGACTTCAATTAGTCTTAAGCCAACACAGAAGCATTTAGACTTTATGTTAATCTTTCATAGAACTGCAAGAAACTACTGGATATTAGAAACACTTTCCCTATCCTTACTTCATGCCAGTCTGAAACAAACATTCTTCATTCAAACATATAAACATGAAGGGAACTCCCAAAGTCGTTCAACTTTTGTTAGCACCCATGAAATTTCTGTTCCAAGGCATTTGACCTAATGCAAAGCACACGTTATAATGGCTTGTTCTGACTGAGAGAAAATTAGCCATATCTGAGTGGTACAACTGAAAACCCCCAAAGAAGCACAATCAAAACATGCCAAGATGACAATAGCCAGGGCATTGCAGGTATTGTTTGACAGTCAGTTATCATGAGATCTTATCTATACATGGGATTGATGTTAAATACCCCCAACACTAAGAAACAACTGTACGACTCTTCTTTGTTTCCAGCAAACAGCTATGTGTATTTCATGTTTGAAGTACACAGAGCAGTCAGCATATTCATGCGTGTTCCAACTCATGCTTAGTTTCCATCACTTAACCTCTTTAACATTCATGGAAAAAACAGCAAACATATTAAAGGGTTATTCAAGCAACCAAAGATAGCACCACAGCTGCAATGAAGAAAGGGCAGGGGTCAATCTCTGCACACAGGTGTGAGAGAAAAGATGTGGGAAATCAAAAACATCCTGTCATGGAATTCAAATAAGGCTTCTGCTTTTGGACACCAACTTGGGTTTGGATTCATAACCTCGCTTTGACATTTGAAGACTCACAATGTCCTACAATTTAACATTCATGTATTACAGCTGATATTTTACTAATGAAATTTGGGTTACGTTCAAGGAGATGGATTTAAAAATGAGTTCCTTTCTAGCAATGGTTCTCATGGAGTGCATCATGAGAATTGTTGATGCCTCTTACAACCGAGTGGTATCATGTTAGTTATTTGGAGATTAACACTTATCATGGAGCCCACTGTGGCATGTGACACCTACCCATGCTTCTTCTGCACGAAGATCCCTTGTTTTGACTCAAAACATTCTGCTCGTTGTTACTTTATGACGGGACTAATTCAGTTTCTGTATAAGCATAACATGAATAGTGTCCTTGTCCTGAACTTCAATAAATCTCTCTCTCTCAGGCTTGTTGTTTTCCTGTTCTGCAGCATACAGTGCCACAAGTACATGAGTTCAGTGAGGGACCTGGCCAGGGTGAAGAGAAGAAAAGCATATAATGAATAATTCAACTCTCCCTCACTTGCTCCGTTTTCAGTTTTGAAAGGCCTTTACTCTTTTGGTGAGCTTTAACAATCTACAGGTGCATGACAAACACCAGTGAGCCTGGATCATAAAAAGTTTCCTTTTTTATGTCCGAGTTATGTTTTAGGGTTTGAGGGTTTGCAGTGGGTTTCTCTGCTTGTTGATTGTTGTCTCATTTCCTTCCACCCCTTAACCTCACAGGCACACACACACACACACACACACACAGTGGGGAAAAAGTGAAGAAAAAGCAGCCAATTTTATGTTCACTGAAATATCTGCAATCTGCACTCAAGTTCCTATATGGTCACAGTTTGACTAAAACTGTCATAGTGTAAAGTTAGCCATATTAAAAATAGGCCAGATATTTCACAAGTATGTCATTGCAACAAACAATAATTATAAGTGAATGATCCAACAAAGCTGACTGCAAGTGTCCCAACTTCCCCCACTCACTCCATACCCGTATTTCCTGCAGACGGGCACAAATCACCCCTCACATATCACTTTTCTTACCAGAAGAGAAAACAATAAAAGAACAAACACAGAAACCTGAGTGCAGAAACACTTGGATTTTCCTTCAGCACAATAAACTAGTCTTTATTAAATTACAGATATACATGTTACCCTAGAATCTGCTGAGCAACAGATTACAGCAAATCTTATTGACTTACAATAGAAACTGGTTCTACTTCTTTTGGCCAAAAAAAACATAAATTTAGTACAAGCTGAAAGACAGACACGTTTCATTTTAAACTGCATCTAAATAACGGGGTTTTTATTGTGCCCCTGAAATTTTTATTGTCAAATAAACAGACAAATTAGGGTTGGATAAATGAACTGTAATAAATGTTTGCACACAAATCTGCGTGCAAAGCCCACCGTAATATATTTATTAAAAGCCAAACATTAATTGCCTTATAAATCTGCACTTACAAAATACACTTAATTCAGAAACTACACATTTGAAAGTAAACACTGCTCTCGGTTTTTCTACGTCCCAATCTAATTAGCATGACGTGCATTATTAAGGTTTCAAAGTGCTGCACAAGTGGCGAAACGGACAATGTACGAACCTGGGAAGGAAATGAAATTGAAAAGTCGGAATTAGTTCCACCAGCCGCAGTTTTTGCAAAACCAACTGCTGCCTAATTTACCTACCTACAATTCGGCCACATATATTTCACAGCTCACAAGCATAATCTTTTCATATAGCATATTTAATCTATAGAGAAAGTGCCTGAACCCCTAATTCTCCTTAGTAAAAGACACAGTCCCGACGTAGTTAATCTGTTAGGTTAGATAAGCTTTCGCATTAGCTGGTTAGCTTAGACAGCTAGCCTTGTGGGACGTGACCACGAATCAGCTGATGTTAGCGCAAACATGACGGGTAATAACAGTGATGATATAGATACAATAAGAGTTCACGTTGCTGTTTATGTAATAGTATCTGAAAAACAAACATTTATTCTGCCAGCACAGAAATCGTTAGCAATGTTTGCCGTTTCAATTACCCTCCTTCACTGAGCAAGTTCCGCATAGTAACAGCAAAACGCCGGCAGAGTGACATCATTTCACTTTGTCCAATCACGAAAGAGTGACCTAAGTTGACTGCAGCTGCGCAGTGCCCTCACACTCCTAGTGACCACAGTGTATTTCTGCGGGTCATTCTAGCCGATCCGTGTAGCGTTGCAGAGCTTCTTTGAAGTTCAGTCTTTGCGTTCGGTTTTAGATATGTATACGCCTTATGTATGGAGAGAGGCATAGGGACAGGACAGGCAGTTGCCTGGAGCCTCCGTGCTGGGCCGATTACATAGTACATTGCAACGACAAATCTGCTTTATTTGTGTATTCTGTTTTTCACAGTAAAGTGAAAATAAAGGAGTTGTGTTTATTACATTCTCTTTGTTGATGTTATTAATTTAGATTTCACTCTAAAGCACAGGTGTCAGACTCCAGTCCTGGGGGGGCGGAGCCCTGCACATTTTTGGGTTTCCCCTCGTTTAACACACCTGAATCAACTTCTTGTGCTAATTACCACATAGCTGTTGAGCTGAATCATTTGTGGTGGAACAGGGAAAGAACTAAGCTACACAGGGCTGCGGCCCTCCAGGACTGCAGTGTGACACCCCTGCTCTAAAGTAACGGTTACAAATTTCACCATGTTGGGCGGGGGGGCATTGGAGGGCCCCATGGAATCTTGGGCCCCCAGTGTCCTTAGGATTGCCTCTGTGAATAGTGGCATATATGCATATAACTGGCTAGACATTTTTTAATCAGAGTTGCAGTATTAATATTGTAAAACACTTTGAACGTGTTGCTGTTCCTAGAATTAAAATATATCACTTTAATTCAGCTTAATAAATAAGTATAACAAAAGTAAATATAGATTCGATTAATCATTCTTTTTAAAAAACATTCTAGATGTGAAAAGAAGTCTTAAAACGTGGTAGTTTAGGGAAGGTGAACTGCATTTTAGGTGGCATTTTTAATAGAGCAGGTCAGTAGACAGGTCAGTTGGACTAAGGAAGAGACTGAGTTGTTATAGAAAAAGAGGTTTGTTAGTAACCTATTTTAACACACTTTGCCGTCTTTATATTGCGTGAGCAGATGAATCCTAATAAAGGAGAAATCTTGTGATGTTCTATGCCACATCATCTCACATTTAGAACCACTTAACTACCGGGGACTGCATCAGACTGATTATGAGGCTCAGAACTGAACTGAACCAGTATACATTGGTGTGAGTTGGATGGGATTCTGAGACAGCTGTGTCAAATACAAATGCACTGACTTAGGATTTGAATCAAGTAATTGTGTTCTGATAGAAGGTAGGCCTATTGTCGCTTTCCAGTTTTTTTAGGCAGTTTAGGCAATTTTTAGTCAACTCATTGCAAGATACTGTCATTATTTAAAACGGAATGTATGTTTTGGTCTACTATTGGAGTGAAAAGAAATAATGTGTATCCAAAACTAAATCACAAGGCCAGTCTCTGAAGCCAAGCATTTACTTAACACATTTGAATTCAAAGTGTAAACAATACATACTAAAAAGGTATGCAGACTACTTAAACTCAAAGCTAAATTTCAAATTCACTTCACAGGGGGATATAAAGATGCATGTATTCATTTGTTTTTCATTATTTTCCACAATAGTAAAGTGTTCATCGTTGTAGTGGCATAATTTTGAATTGTGAGGAGACTAGCACAAACACTGAGCCGGTGCTGGGATTCAAACCCACAACCTTAGAAATTTGAGGCTACGGCACTGTGAAAAGGCTTCCATGAGAAAGAGAAATGGAGAAAGGCTTATAAGAGTGTGTTAATAGTTACAGTGAACACAGGGTGGCAACCTATAGGTTTAATGCAAAATCTAGTTAATCACACACTTTTTGCGTCAAATATTGCAAAAAGTATTTTAGAGATTTAGTATTAATATTGCAAAATATTTGAAAAATGTGGATTTAAAGTATTTTACAAAACGACAATGAGTTTGTGAAAGTAAAGCATACTTCTGCAATTTAATGTAGCACTGAACATTCTAGAAACTAGCAGGACTATTGTTTATGACATAGCTGGCCAAAAGCCAAGCTCGAGGTAAATACTACACAGGATGCATTCAGCTTGCTCACAGCTAGCCCTCCCGAAGGCAGTGATGTTCTGCATATGCATGCAGGCGGTTGCAAATCAGCTGTCATGTGACACAAACCAAAGTCGAAAACATAACACCTTTCTGTTACAGCCAGCGCATTCCCTCCGCCGCGCACTGTTGAGAAAAGCCAAAAAGTGTCATAACCCCTTTGTAAAAGTACTAACATTTGGTGCACAAATGATACTGATCACTACAACCAGAATTGGCATATCTGCCACATCCTGTATTGAGGGTGGGTGCTGATTTTGTACTCCCCCCATGCTGATTTTTTTCTCTAGACACCAGTATCAAAGACCATTGCTGGCCCAACTGTTACTGCTGTGAGAGAGGCAGAAGCTCGTACCCCACAAAAGACACCATCTGTTTCAGGGCTGCCTGTGTTCTGTTCCTCTTTTAGGCTCTGTCGGGTGTTACTTACGGCAGTGACATGCTGGCCCTCTTTCACTGTTCCCGGGGCAGACTGACTGATCTCAGCAAAAGTGACACACACCTCACAGTAAAATATTACTTATTTGCTTATTCTTACCCCGGCATCTTAATAATTTCTATGTCAATGCAAGTCAACAACAGCTTAATGCGAGTGAGCATACATATAAACCATCCAGACCTGATTAAGCAATATTTATGTAAAATAAACACTTGTACCGTCACTCTTTCTTTGTTTAGCCAACATTTTTTTGCAGAGGAACCTACACATTTGTCCATTTATACAGCTAAATACACATGTATAATATGCCATTCCTATTCGGCTCACTGATAAGGATACAGAAATTCTAAGTTGACCCAGGGTTAAAGATGTATCAATCATATTTCTTCCTTATTCAGTTGAAATCTTTAATAGTTTATGGAAATGATAGATAAACTACTGTCCTTTCTTGCATGGTAGGTAGACTGACCTTTAAGTAGGTTAAAATGATGGCCATTTCTTTTCTGCATGATGATATCTAATAATGTTTAAACATTTCATATAATTTTAAGATCAATTGATTGTGTCCTATTAGGGCCCTGCCGAATGAGACAGTTTTTATCTCTCACATCCAGTAAACAAGCACATGCCTTGATTCCCAACCGCAGAAGTACTACAAGATCTTGCTGTGTCGTCAAACCTATGACAATAATTCAGCAGTTCAGCAAGATTTGACTACCTTTCCACATACACTGGTTAAACGTCATGTAATTTGTTGAATTCAAATAACCTTAAGGAAGTGAACTGGATTGGAAAGTCACAGATAAATGATAGCGTGCATATACACCAATCAGCCAGAACAATAAAACCACCTTCCTAATATTGTGTTGGTTCCCCTCATGACAGGAGCTCTGGCCTGTCGAGGCCTGGACTCCTCAAGACCTCTGAAGGTGTCCTGTGGTATTTGGCACCAAGACATTAGCAGCAGATCCTTTAAGTCCTGTAAGCTGTGAGGTGGAGCCTCCATGGATCATCACTTGTCTGTCCAGCACATCCCAGATGCTCGACTGCATTGAGATCTGGCGAATCTGAAGGCCAAGTCAACACCTTGAACTATTTTTCGTGTCCCCCAAACCATTCCTGAACAATTCCTGCAGTGGGGTAGAGTGCATTATCCTGCTGAAAGAGGTCACTGCCTTCGGGGAATGCCGTTGCTATGAAGGGGTGTACTTGGTCTGCAGCAATGCATCACACTGCATCCACTGGCTTGCCTTCTTCCCAAATGGTGCCATCTCTTCCCCAGGTAAATGATGCATATGCACCTGACCCTCCATACAGTGTAACAGAAAATGTGACTCATCAGCCCAGGCCACCATTTTCCAACGCTCCATGGTCCAGCTCTGATGCTTACATGCCCATGATAGTGGCTTTACGGTGGTGGACAGGGGTCGGCATAGGCACTGGTCTGCGGCTGCGATGCCCTGTGTGTTCTGATATCTTTCATAGCCAACATTAACTTTTCAAGCAATTTGTGTTACTGTGGCTCTCCCGTGAGATCGGACCAGACGTGCAAGCCTTTACTCCCCACGTGCATCAATGAGCTTTGGGTACACATGACCTGATCACCAGTTCACCGTTTGGCCTTCCTTGGACCAATTTTTGTAGATACCAACCACTGTGTACCTGGAACACCCCAGAAGACCTGCAGTGGTGCTATGACCCAGTTGTCGAGCCATCACAATTTGGCCATTCTCAAAGTCGCTGAAATCCTTACGCTTGTCCACTGTTCCTGTTTCCAACACATCAACTTCAAGAACTGACTGTTCACTTGCCTAATATATCATGGCACCCTTGACAAGTGCCATTGTAATGAGTTAATCAATGTTACTCACCTGTCAGTGATTTTAATGTTTATGGCTAGTCATCAGGGCCTTGACAGGGTGGGGGGCTGGGGGGAATCTGTTGTCCAGTTGTCCCCAAGCCTTGGGTCAAGAGGGGCCCAAAAGGGCCATTAACATTTAAATAATCTCCTGGAATAATTTGTCAAAAATACATATTTGTGAAAAGTTTATTTAGTATTTGTGAATCACATAGAAGCCTGATATTCTTATGTTTTTCCTAATTTTCCTTGACATATTGGGAAACAATTTTACTTTCCCTCCCTATGATGCAAAAAATGGTTTGGTCTGCTCTGCCATGATGCTTTAAGCTTGACGTCGACTAGTCGCCGACCATGAGATTATGACACTAACAACATGGACGCCTCAGAGAATACAAGTTACACGGAAGTTCAGGGAAAAATAACTAATAATATATGGCTCCAGATTCTTGCTGTGTCTGGATTCCTGGGCTGCATCCTTCTAAGGCGTCATTTGAAGATGGAATGTGTCACAGTGGTGCAACAAGGCCGTCCCATTTCGAAGGCTCTTTCAAATGCCATCTAGAAATGCACCCTTCTATTCATGCTCTGCAGGGATACACGCAGGATTCATTGCGCAGAGGTAAAGTGGGTGTATGCCAGCTAGGCAATAGGAGTGGTGTTTTATGACTCAAGGGAAAATACAGAAACAGCTGGTGACACAAATAGAAAATTATCCATTGGCACGACCATTCTATTTAATAACACTTTCTGTTCGACTTTTGAAGAACGCAACCTACTAAGGCTACACCTTCGTAGACTGTGTGCTTCACAGGATACAGCCCCTGAATTTGGACACCGTCTCTCCACGCCACTCTCAGGCCCCTTCTGGTTGGGTTGACACATGCGCAAAGAAACATGTTCTTTATCGGTTTCACGAGTTTTCAAAATGTAGTTTATCTGTTTAACGTGTTTGAAAAGAAATGTCCTATCTATTTGTGGATGATCTGTTGTCAATCTAATGTTTCATCATTGTCAATCAATTCTAAATCTAAACGGTTAATATATTCATTTTAATTTTGTTTTTCCTTTTTAATGTTTTACTGTTTATATATAAAAATTCAGGCAACAAAAATGCAAATAACATTTTTATTGATATCAGCAGTTACCTATGATTACTTGTCAATGTCCTGCCTAGATATTTATTGATCACATTTAAAATCTGAAGCATTCTGGATATTAATTTAGTTAAAACATGCTAGTATAATGGTTTGGAAACATATATCGCATTTTCTATTGCATTATCATTCTGGATACATGAAATACATTTACATCAGGACTGAAAGAGAATACAATAGATTTTCATTGTCATTGTCTTTAAAAATAAATATCTATTCTATTTTACACTGTTCAAAAAATGTACATAAACACTTTGAAAACACATCAGATCTCATTGGGGGAAAAAAAAATCATGCCGGATATCTATACTAATACGGACTGGGTTATGTGTTAGGAATGAGAGGATGCCACATCATTTAATGGAAATAAAAATGATCAACCTACAGAGGGCTGAATTCAAGGGCACCCCAAAAATTTGTGAAAAAATGATGCGGCAGTCTAGTCCATTTTGCCAAAATTTCATTGTCTGCCGTTGTCTAGCCTGTAGAGGTCTGTGCGTCCCTCGATGGATATGCCACCCCAGACCATCACTGACCCACCACCAAACCGGTCATCCTGGACAATGTTACAGGCAGCATAACATTCTCCATGGCTTCTCCAGACCCTTTCACGTCTGTCACATGTGCTCAGGGTGAACCTGCTCTCATCTGTGAAAAGCACAGGGCACCAGTGGCGGACCTGCCAATTCTGGCAAATGCCAATCCAGCTCCACGGTGCCGGGCAGTGAGCACAGGGCCCACTAGAGGATGTCAGGCCCTCAGGTCACCCTCATAAAGTCTGTTTCTGATTGTTTGGAAAGAGACAAAGACACCAGTGGCCTGCAGGAGGTCATTCTGTAGGGCTCTGGCTGTGCTCATCCTGTTCCTCCTTGCACAAAGGATCAGATACCGGTCCTGCTGATGGGTTAAGGACCTTCTACGGCCCTGTCCAGCTCTCCTAGAGTAACTGCCTGTCTCCTGGAATCTCCTCCATGCCCTTGAGACTGTGCTGGGAGACACAGCAAACCTTCTGGCAATGGCATGTATTGATGAGCCATCCTGGAAGAGTTGGACTACCTGTGCAACCTCTGTAGGGTCCAGGCATCTCCTCATGCTACCAGTAGTGCCACTAACTGTACCCAAATGCAAAACTAGTGAAAAAACAGTAAGAAAAGATGAGGAGGGAAAAATGTCTGTGGCCTCCACCTGTTAACCATTCCTGTTTTGGGGGTCGTCTCATTGTTGCCCCCCTAGTGCACCTGTTGTTAATTTCATTAACACCAAAGGTTTACCTAAGGACCTTTATAAAATAGCCTAACATGGCACTGATACGGAGAAAAGTGAGCCCAACTAGTCACATCATGTCTACGTCACAAGACTCATAGAAAAAAAAACAGAAGATATTGGCACTTGTGCCTACTGCTTTCTAATTATATTACACGGACGCGTTCTCCATCACCTCCTCATCCAATTTCTCACAGCTGTGTAAAGCTCGGTGTTCATACTCACCAATCACAGTCCTCCGCGATGACGTCATCCGGTATCTTTTCGCAAGAAACTGTCCTAAACATCTGATATGATTTTTGTCAGTAATATAAATACTCTAAAGCTTTTCTTTAAAATATCAAGGTACTATTGTGCATTTTGGTTGTTCACAATTTATTTTTATTTAAAAAAAAAAAAAAAAAACGCATTTATACGTTTATAGGTTTTCTTTAGAAGCCTGCTCCAGAATCTACTGAATTTGTATTCATGTTTAGGTAGCATTGCGGTTTAATTATAAATTTAGACAAATATACAAAATACAAATTTCACTTCCCGTAATTCATGTTTTTAAACATTTGCAGTTTTGGTTTCAGTAAGTAACTGAAAGCATTCTGATTCATTTTTCTAATTTTAAAATATGTTATCTCAGAGGTAAGAGAACGGACACAGTGTTATTCGCCTATAGTATTTTTTTAACTTTTGGTTTTTGATCACTTACTTTATGAAATTAAAGGCTGTCATTTTCGCCCGATTAATAATTAACCATTTCGTTTCATCCAAACTATAGTGTAATGATTCGTGTGTAATTTATTAATCTGTCGTAATGAGATTGAGCCATGAGATTCTCATCGTTTACAGCATTTTTCATTCGCAGTATCTGCATACAGGACTCGATTCTAGGAGCAATAGAAGACTTTCACAGGCGTAGCAGTAACAGTACAGGGAACGTTTGACAGAGAAGCAAAGCTGCAATTGATTGAAATATGTCAGAGATCTGGGTTGCTTAATCTGTGTTCGGGCTCCGTAGATCTGTGTAATGGATGCATATAGTTCATATGATGTGATTACAGACTTTGGTCATAGCAGCTAAACACAAGTACTAAGGCTTCCGGAAACCCCCAATATAACTCTCGTACTTGCGATTGTTATTGCCCTGTTAGGACTAAGTTGAAATGGCCGAATATAGTTCGCGAATTGTGAATACAAATGAAATTGCTGGATTTTAGTAACATTTAATAATATTGCTGTATAAGTGTAACGTATAGTGTGACGTTGCTGGTCACGTGAGGCGTGGGAGCAGCGCGAGGGGAGTGAGGAAGAGAGCAGAGTATAAATAGTCCTGGTAATAACCGTGTATGCGCTGACCCAGTTAGTGAAATAAAACTCAGTGCACGCACCAAACTCTGTTTGCATTTATTATATAAAGTGTGGATGCATCAGTCGGACGAATCGGGTCGGCTGGGAAGCTGGCGAGGGAGACGCGGCGGAAAGAAGCGGCGGAGTCCTGCTCGCTTCGTCACAATAGGCGAACGATCTATTGCAGTGCCTGGATTTTTATAGTTTCACCGAATTCTGCTTTTTCCCCTCCAAAATGTAATACCTCCCCCTTGCGACAAAAGTAAGTATAACCGTTTTACCAAATAGGTTTAAGTTGAACGTCGACTCATTCTGTAGGTTATGCGCAAAAATCTACCAGTTTTTAAAAAAATTTAAGCAGCATGTCTTCAAAAGTTTTTTGATCCTGGAATGAATTAACCATAGGTAGATTACAAATGATGTAAACCATAATAATAAAGAGTAAATTATACAATAGCGATACTTTTTTCACCCCTGTGGGGAAATTTTCTTTTCGCCTACCGCATTTCCCTCTCTATAAGACACCCAGGGCCCTATTATAACGATCTGAAGCGCATAGTCCAAGTTCTTTTAGGGTGTGCCCAAATTCGCTTTTCATAGTTTAACAGAGGAAAAATGGTCACAGTGCCAGGCATGATTCAAAAGGGTTGTAATTATTCATGGCTGTCTTTATTCATGCTGTAAACTAATCAGAGTGTCCTCTCCCTTACCTTTTAAAAGCCAGGTGCGTTGCACCTTGGCGGATTGCTATTATAATGGCGGATATGCCAGGTAGTAGAAAAGAACGCTTCTCTGCAGAGGAAACGGATCTCCTGGTTCGCGAAGTGAAAGCTCGCGAGCAGACCATCTACGGCAACAGCAGGATTCCACCAAAGGTCTCTGAGGTGAAGCAGGCTTGGGAAGAGGTGGCGGTAAGGGTGTCCTCATCTTCTGGCATCACCAGAACGGCCACACAATGCCGAAAACGGTACAATGACGTCAAGAGACGGGGAAAACAAAAGCTGGCTGCTCACCGAAAACTACTATTGAAAACGGGAGGAGGACCACCTACGACCACCGAAGATCTAACGTCAGCGGAGGACATTGCTGCCTCTACCCTGAGTGCTGAAAGCAAAGAGGGATTTGGGGGACTTGAGGTGGGCATTCAAGGTAATGCAATGATAATTATAAATCAATGTGTATTAAACATGCACGACTCTACCAAAAATCGGTTATTTTTCATTAAACACCTGCAACAAGCCCATACAATAAATGAACCGTAAATGTCATGCAGCTCCACTGGCTGAAGACCCTGAGGCTGGACCCATTAAGCAGGAGCAGGTGGTAGATGAGGAGGGAGAGGAGATGGCGGAACAATCATCATCGAGGTCGAGAGGAGAGACAAGTCGACCCAGAACGCGTCGCGGGAACATCATCTGGCAGGAGGACCACCCATTCCTGCAACTCCAGCAGGCCGGATTCAACATGCTGGAGAGGGAATTGGGTGGAATCAGCCGGAGTGTTCGGCGTGTAAATACCCACCTGAGCCGCACTGAGATGTTGCTACAGCCCCTCAGACATATTGCGGACAATCTGGGAAGGCTTGCTGAAGCAGTTGAGCGCCTCATTCCTGCAACACCTCCTCCTCAGACCACCCAGTCTCCTCCATTCACCCGATCCAATATCAACACACTGCCGCCAGATGCTCCTGGACCTTCCCGTGGCCGGTCCCGTCCTGGTGCTCCCCGCCTGCGAACCTCGAGGAGGAAGAAGACCACCAGTTTAAGATCATGTTCATGAATTTTACTTTTTTTTTTTCCAGTCATGGAGAAACAGGCAAAATCAGTGAGGTTCTAATTGCTGAAAGTTTGGAAACCTAATTATTGTAATCTCAAAAAAATGTTAATAAAGAATATTTTTTGAAATATTGATCAAAACTGTTCTAATCATATGGAGATGGGGAAAAAATCATCACATACAGTGAATCCCTGTATTTGTAAGTCATTTGTAAAATGCAGCATGTTTGAAAATGTTCAAATTCATGCTATATATGGTCTTTTTTTTCCCTCCCAATCAAACCACTCAGTTTGCTTACCAGGCTACAGACGACGCCACTCGTCTGCCGCCTGATCTCTCCTGGCCCGCGCTGCTGCTGGCATATTTGGGCTCATGGGCATCAGCACATGTGGTTCAGCATCACGCCTTGTAAAGTCTTGTAATGTGTCCTCATTTATGTCCAAGAAACATCCATAACAGACGGCAATGTCATGCAAAACATAACTTGCCACTAATATTGCTCCGACCTTCTGAGGTCTGTATTGTAATGTTCCACCTGACCTACCCAAAAATCTTAAACACATTATCAGGAATCCAAACATTCTTTCTATTACAGCGCGTGTCTTTGTGTGTTTTTGATTTAAAGAATATTTATGCACTGTTGTTGGCATGATATATGGTGTAATCAGCCATTTTTTAAAGGATAATCATTGTCCCCTAACAGCCACTGCTCCGGGGGGGGGGGGGATTCCTCTGGAAGACTGAACAAATGACAGAGTTGGCCAGTCATGGCTTGTTCCAGGATGATTTCTGAATACATGTGTAACCTTACACATTGCATTGCTGATCACCTGGATATTGATGGAATAGGTTTTCTTAGAGTTCGACATATATCACAGCGTTCTCTGCTGAGGCACGTAGTTGTGCATGTGTGCAATCAATCACACCCAGAACCCCAGGGAACCCAAAGTTCATCCAGAACTCCTGTTTGACCCGTTCTTGACTGGCAGGTGTCAAGGGAAATTGAATGAATTCATTGGCATGTCGGACTAAGTTTGATGTAACTGCATGTATGGCCAAATTTATGGCAGATTGGGAAATGCCTCTAATTGAGCTCAGGGGATGCTAAAATCTGCCATTAGCAAAGAAATGTAGTGCTGCAGTGGCTTTCACAGCAACAGGGAGTACATGGGGTTAGCAGGCATTAAGCTTGTTTGCCAGGAGGATTGCAGATAGGAGAGCTGTAGTTTGCAGTGGCATTCCTCGCTGAAGGACAGATATGTGGTCCTTTGGAGGTGGACCCTCTGCCACTAGGGTCCTGCAGGGGTCTATCCTTGGCGCAATTTTATTTTTGACGTACATGCTCCATGCAGGCTCTATTTTCAGAAGGCATAACATTTCTTTTCACCATCAGATTTACCAGCCAGCAAGTAAGAACTGTATGAACCAATTAATAAGTTGTCTCGAGGACTTAAAGAATTGGCACAAATTTTTCATGACTTAAATAAAAGTAAAACTGAAATTCTTTTATTTGGATCAGCAGACGCAAATGATTTGCTCTTTAGTGTTCTTGGCTCTTTAGCTGCTCACTGTACATTTCATGCCAAAAGGCTTGCTGTTGTTTTAGATAGCAGTCTTATGCTTGTCAAACAGGTTAATTTGGTTGTGAGAAATTGCTTCTTATGGGCTTTGCTCCAGGGCCCATGAACATGAGACTATTTTGCTGAGGCTCAAACCAGCAAGCTTCCAATCACCTGGCACAGATAATTAGCCCTCAGAGCCACACACATGACCCCCAAATATAAGAAACATTCATTTTTAATACTATTTTAAGTATGGAGCATAATTTAAGAAGCCTTAAGAAAATATTTACTATTTAAACAGGATTTCTTCAATGACCGGTATACTAAGTAGAGTGATTTCCTCCCATTGTCCAAAGTCATGTTTTAGGTGGATTGGGGTCTCTCAATTGAACTGTGCCCTGGTGCACCTGACCTGTGCCCAGTCCTTGCAGGAATAAGGACTCTCACCTTCCATTGAATTACATTGATGAATTACAAATGATGACAGAAAATATGTTTACATGCACATGAAGAAAATCGAGTTACTGTGTTAGTCCGACTAAAACCGGACTTTTAAAGTGCATGTACACATGTTAGTCCGACTGAAATTGAGCTAAATTGAATTTGTCAAAGTCGGACTAAGACACCCAAACAATGCGATTGGGACTCCATTAATTCCTTCATGTATAAGTTCAATTGGGACTCAAACCGGCCCAGCCGCTTTGCACATGCTCCACAGTCGCCCCCCCACAGGGCATTGACTCGGAAGTAACAAAAGAAACCGGTACACAGAAGAAGTATGGAGCATATAGCAAAGGTTGCGTTGTTGGCACACTCCAGCACCAAACGGCGGTGTCGTCTGCCTTCGGATAACACCATAGCCAGAAGAAATATCCTATAAATCCTATAAATATTTTTATTATCCTATAAAAATATTTCATTTTTTTTTAAAGTACAATGTACAGCATGTATCAAATGTACAGTGCTGAAAAGCTGTCCAATTCACTGCTCAACTAAAGGGCACTTTTTCAAGAAGGTACCAAAAATACGGTACTTTAAGGTGTTTGCTTTCCACTGCCGTAAAAACTGGTACGGCACTGAATGACATCGTAATGCGAGGCAGGATATTTTGTACTGAATATGAAAAATGGCTGTAGTATATTATAGGACTTGACGACGTGCGATATTAATACCAACATCGCATGTTATGCACATCCAATTCTTACATCGCTAGTCAAGTAGATTAAGATCAGGCTTTTTCTTACCTTTAGTTCGGTACGGATATTATAGCATACAGTTTAAGTCTCGCTGAAACATTTTTACTTTATCATAGGATTTTTTTTTTTTTACTGCTTATTCCTTTACACTATTCTCTAGTATATGTTTAAAATCAGTTTAAATTTTTACCTCCGCTGTTTTTGCATGAGTGCTGCATGTGTTCTCCAAGACAAATATAATAATTTTCATCCTTGCTGTTTAAATCACTCCTAGATGGGTTCATGAGAAATTTATGTTGAATTCCTTTATTTTTTCATAAATACCCCAATATTTATTACAACAAAATCACACTGCAATATTTGAAAAATTTCCAATACCGTGCTGCCATAGTATATTATACCAAATACTTAATTTCTTGCTATGCTATTCTGATCTTGTTGTATCTGTTCTTCTGACCAGATTGGAATTAAAACTTGTGTTACTTCATTTGCCCACGCATCCATTATTATAAAATTTTTTTACGTCTGTGATGTAATAGATCAACCAGAAAAAGCCTAGGATTCCGATACTCTTTATTGGGGGATGAAAACAGGATATTTAAGTGACAAATCCGACTAAAGGACTCAAGACAATTTTTCTTACCTAGAGTTGCAACCTTTATCTTTTCTGGAAATCCCAGAGCAAGACCGAGACCCTAGCAAAGCTAGCTGGTCTCATTAATAGACCCTGGAGGTACAACATTGAGATGTGAATATCAATCTATCCATCTACTTTACATTACCACATATTCAATGCAGGGTTTTTACCCAGAGGTTGTTGTAAACACCTTAACCCCAGATTGTTCAAGAGGTGCATGATAAATGGCTAACCCTGCTTTGGGGCCCCCAAACTAGCAGTAAAATACGTCAAAATACAAAAACATGGGACAGAAATGTAGGAATCACCCACTTGGTAAATGAATGTCTTGTCTGAGCTATTAATGAAAATTAACATTAAAGTTGATGAAAAAAACATGATTTTTTAGTGCAAAACTGGTCTGTCATTAAACCATTAAAATCATTAAACCGCTTACTGAATCTTTTACTAAATTTTGGGACATTAACAAGAAAAAACTAATATTGAGGGAGTTGGAGCTGCGCTCAGGCAAGATGCATTTTGGACGTAAGGAGGCAGAGTTGGGCTCTGTCTATATTTAAACCCTCCCCATACTACGTACATTGCAACCTCCTCCAGTCTGGTATAACCTTTAGAAGCCATTTATTGGCTATATAAATATACTGCATCTAAATAAAATGACTGAAATATTAGAAAATATTACTTGAATTACACAAAAGGAACTTCTGTATGACAGTCATGTGTGCAAGCATATGAGATCATAAAACAATAAGAAAAGAAACAGGAACAGATGTTATGGAAAGAGGAAGTGATCTCACCAAGCAGGTCGCAGCTGTCAAGCAGAAACGTGAATGTACCACTTAGACTTGGAGTTGCCATCTACAGCAGGGTAGCAAACACAAGCACATTCATTCAATATACAATAGTGATAAAAAAAACATTAGATTATTTAACCATGATTAACCTCTAAACACCCATTTTATATGAGTACTAGAATGGGAAATCCAATCCATGATTCTGTGGAAAACCAAAGGGGGACTTTAGATAATTCTGGCCAAGAATGAGTAAGACACGAGGATCAGCCAATTTTTTTGGGCATATCAGCAAGCAATGGTTTCAACTTTCCTTTTAATGAGGAACTTCCCGGTCCCGTTTCTGTGTAACCACTCCTGTGGAACTGAAACATGACAGCAGAGCAGACAAAGCAATACACAGAACAGATGGCAGTGATAACAGCAGTGCTGCTGTTGACAGCAGTTGTGGTGATAAAATGTACTTCTGGAATGTGCTATGTGGGTAAGTAAAGCGATTCTGCTGTTTTCTCTTTGGTGGGGGTTGGTAATAGGAAGATAGGTCTATACATAGTCAGAGGTCTTTATAGGTAAAACAGTCTATCCTTGTTGGTTTTTTAACCTAAAACACACATATTGTGGGGAAGGAAACCTATTGATCAGACGAGCACTGATTTGGCCGGCAATATGAGCACTTTCTTTTTTAAAAGATGACACAGCCATTTGAGATGCACCAAGGCTATACAAGGAATGTTTATTCTTCAAACAGCTAATGCATAAGGCCGCGAAACCTGCATAAAACTCAAATAGAAATTTAAAATGAATAAATCAATCAATGTATTTAAATAATACATCGTAATCATTTTTAAAATGGCAAGAGAATTTTTAATATTTTTTTAATTGTTTTCTGAAGCTCTGAAGAACTTGATTCACTGAACCATTTTTTTGGCGATGGAAGTAGTGGTGGAGGGAGAACGAATCAATACCCCGTAAAACATAATGTAAAGTTTAATTTGAAACGGTCAGAAAGGCACCAGAACATTAGCCCTGCCTCTCCAGTTCCTCATTCTGCATCACATATATTATATATATATATATATATATGCAAGCCTTTCTTGACATAATAATGGACCAAATCAGAGTGGAAGACACAGGTTCAACGTCTCATTTACCAGTCACTGATTTACTGTGATACTTTGGGCGCTGAGCACTTTGCAACATTTAAAACAATTTGCTCATGTTTAACTAGTGACTCCTGCCACATGTATTGATATTTAAAATGCCCATAAAATCTCATGCAGCTCTGCCCATCAGTTACTCTTATCTGTATGAATTTGTGACATTTATCTATATTGATATCCACAGTTGTCCACCACATTTCCAGTTTGTAAAAAGAAATAATGCACAATTTCCCAGTGTTGTAATGTTTTTGTGTAAACAAAAGTATTTGTGCTCCATGACTATGACATGGATGAAGTAGACATCAGGTTCACACTGATCTGGCAGGCGATGCGGGAGATGTAGCTGCTGGAGATACTGTAAAATATTGTACTTTACAGGAGGACAATTTTTATTCCGACAGCTAAAGCATGAGGTCTCAGTACATTCTTATAATTAAAAAAAAAGTTCAATTCATTAATCATTTGATTTATCTAAATGTTTGTTTGGATTGATCTGTGCAGAAGTGAGCTGTCTGGTTATCAACCTGGAGCACATGGACTGTACATGGAAGCAGGACTGTCGCCTACAGCTGAACTATACCTTCCAGAGCCGGTATTCCTGTAACAGACAGACATCCTTAGCGAGGCCTTCTTAGAAAACTGTTCATTATTTCAATATCTTATCCTTACCCACTAAGGATGACAGGCAGTATTACGGTTATAACTGCAAATCTCTAACAAACTATTTTTCAGTCCATTGGAGCAACATCCATCTCTTGTAGGTTAAAAAAATCTAGGAGATTTTGGGGTAATACTCAAACAGCTAAAAAAAATAATACTTACAAGTGCGCAGTAAACTTGAAATATATTATGGGGTACAGCTGGTGCCAATGGACTGAGAAAGCAGCTTGGTTAATGTATCGATTTTTGTGAGGACACATTCAATGCCAAAATCTCACCCAATGATTTAGCCAAAAAATTCAACAACAAAGTTCTATTAACAACATTTATCTCCAAATACCACTGTTCTCAATGGAGTGTTGTACCTTGCAGGCTGGGTTCCAGACCGCCCTTCCGTGACTGCCCCCAGTACCTGCGGGAGGGTGGTTACAACGTGGGCTGCAGACTGCCATATAAAATAAACGATAAGTTTTCTTCACTGCACACCAGACTGTCTGGTGACAACAATGTCACGAAGGAACAGACCATTCAAATGAAGGAGCGGGGTAAATTCGGACCCCGTCACCCCTATTATCTGCCGCTGATTTCCCCCAATTCGCTGTACTTTCATAACCCTGCTGTAGCAGTCTCTCTGCCCCCCCCCCCAATACCCCTCTTACATCACCCTCACTGCCCATCTGCCTCACTGACTGCCCAGTCTGTGTTCCTCTCTCTCTAGTGAAACTAAAACCACCGCTTAATCTCTCTGTGGTGGTGAACAGTACAAACCTGGAGCTCTGGTTATACTGGAACACCAGTACAAAAAGCACCTGTACGGAGAGTGAAGTGCGCTACAGGAAGCAGGATGATCAGTGGCATGTAAGAACCAGCAGGGCTCTAGCATAAGTGGGGCAACCATGGCTGATATATCTTCGAATTTTTCAACTGTTCAAAAAATGTGGATCTTGTTTGTGTTTTGCTCCCCTTCTCCTGCTCCTCTCAGTCTGCCATCATTCAGATGTCGGCTACATCGCACAGCATACCTTTCATCTTCCAGAATCATCAGTATGAGCTCCAAGTGAGGACCCGCGTATCGCATTTTTGTGGCGAGTCCATGTTCTGGAGCGACTGGAGCGCACCGATTTTCTACCATGTACCAGGGAAAAGAAATGCAACCGGTAAAAGGAGCTGAAAATCATGAAGGGCTCAGACGTAATAGTCAACGGAAATGTATTTAGCTTGAGTGGCTATATCGCACAATGCAGAAATATAATAGTCACTCTCTCCATTTAAGCTCGTGCTTATGACACATCAGTACTTCTGCAAACGATTGTTTGCGGTATCTGTAGCTTAGGGGTACCCAACTCTCAGCAGGGGACACACCTAGGCAATCCCAAGGTTACGAACGAGATCCGTTCCGTAATAATAATAATAATAATACAATAGCAATTAAAGTAACCGTTCGTTACTATGAACCATAATATGTAACACAAATTTTTAATATAATAGGCTTTACGGCAGTTGATTTAAGTACGAGTTGTCCGTAAGTCTGACGTTCTTAACCCAGGGACTGCCTTTATATTTTTTCAGTGTTTTACAACCCCTTATATTTGACGATCTGTTCGCATCTGAAGAAAAACAGAAACGTTTAAACTTAAGAAATCGCTGATCGATCCACAGGCACAGGACTCCCTTTCCTCATTCCCCAGCCACTTCAACGGTCCGCGAGATTTTCGTGTGACGTAAACCGGTCCGCAGAAATCAAAAGGATATGAAACCCCAAACTCTACAGCAGTGTTTCTCAAACGGGCCCTCGGGGACACACAGACAGTCCACGTTTTTGCTCCCTCGCAGCTTCCAGGAGCACTGATGTGGACTGTCTGGCAGGTAGCTAGGAGGAAGCGAAAACGTGGACTCTCTGGGAGTCCCTGAAGACCGGGCTGAGAAACACTACTCCTCAGCCGGATCCCCATGCACCAGTGTGCTATCCTGATTTTTCTCCCTGTTTTGCAGCAAGAATCGCTGACCTGCACGCGCTCATCTACCTTGCCTCCGTGGGACTTGGCTGGCTCTGGCCGCAGTGGATGCTCTGATTGGCTGACAGAACGCTGTTTACCCCAGTCAGTTGCAGTGATGACGATCTGAGGAATCAATTTCTGTTAAACAGATGACGTTGAAATAAAGATTAAAACTGGAACTATCTTGGTCTACAAAAGTGACTGACAGCAATTCAAACATAGGAAGAAAAACATTGATGACATCAACATTTATTACAGTATCTGGATTTGTATGTGTGCATGTCAAGCTTTTCCTTTCCTGTCTCTGGTTGGACACAGTCTCCTCGTAGGTGGCATCCAAGATTTCTGTGTGAGCATAGCCCTTTAACTGGGCGATACGGCTGGAGTTATGACAAACAAGGCAATGTTCAAACTGACCTGCAGAGCCTGCTGAATCTGAAGGGTAGGTCTCGGCTGGGTATGTCTCCTCTAATGGCCTTGTGGTCTTTCTGGGGGATGGAGCTGTGAGAGACACCTGCACAGTCATTACATCCTTCCATAGACAAGAAGAAGATTGCTAGTGATTAAATCTAAATAACCCATTGCAGCAATACTTAATTACTCATTGTGCTACACCACACATCTCTTTACAGCACATGTACTGTACATCAGGACTGGGTGATTGTATAGGGTGCTGTTTGATTAGGGAGTGCAAAAGAGTGAGTGTAAAAAATCAGAAGAAATACCCTTGGTTGCATTCTGTGACATTACAGTTAATTACACAAATTGTAATATTCAACTACTTTTCTAGTGAAACATATTCAAACTAGCTAGTTAGCAGCCAGATACTTTGTGCTACTAAACTGTTTTTAATATAAATTAATTGACAAAATTTCATTTCTGCAGCCCTTAGGAATAGGTTGCGGGCGGGGGTGTGCTCAGCAGAATGTTGCATGGCGCCTGAACGGCCAAGGCCAGCCCTGCTGCCCACGGTCCCCAAGCATAGGGTTTGTTGTTGGCTGATGCAGGCTGTTGGATGGTGTCCACCTCTGCAGGTTAGGGATCCATGTCCAGAAGGATATGAGTTCAAATCCCTTGAACAAGACCCTTTACATCGGCAATGTTGGGAATGTTCTGGAATGTAAGGTCTTTACACCTCACTGTTTCTAGGCACACCATCCAACGCCTTTTCGTGAACTCTTCCACTTTTGCACCTTTGTGTGTTTTCCAAGCAGGAAAGGATAAGACACGTATACCATTCCTGTTTCCTGAACAGTCGTGTTACCAGTTGTGACAGTCTTTGACGCAACATTACTGTCAAACCATCCCGAAATGTCTCCAAATGACTCAAAGATGCGAACAAAGCTAGCTTACTCCAGAGAACCCATAATGCCTTGCATCGTGAGGTCATTGCCATTGTCCCAATTGCTCCAGGGACACTAGCTTACCCTGGCCTCTGACTGCGGATATGCACAAAAGCTTCTGCTACATAAATAAAGGTAATGTAAAGGTCATGCACGTTCTCGAGGCTGCTGGGACTGCAAGAGCAGTCTTAGAGGGCCTCAGTCATCACACAGGTCACGCAGATCTGAAACTCAAGCTGCGCACTGCAATCCAGACTCAAGCACGCAAGCATCTGTCTGGCAGCGTGTGGCTTTTACTGACCTCTCTGCACCGACGAGACCGGATTCATTTGTAGCTGCAGATACAAACCAGCTGCAGCATTTGCCTGAATAAAGCGAAAAACATCTCACACCCCATGTGGGCACCTCTGTGGGCACCACATTACATTAGCTGGTGTATTTAGGTCTCCCAGGACTTTGTGGGTGCTACACTTTCCAAACACAGGTAAGAAGTCAGACCCCCAGGGATGCATGGGAAGATTAAATGTAGGAAGGTTTCGTTTGCACTGTGTTCTCTTCTCCATTTGGCCCATCAAGCTCGTTTGTGGGAGAACTTAACTAATAGCTCAGAGTTGTTAAAATCTTATCTAGCTCTGATTTAAAGGAACCCAGGGTTTTAGCCTCCACTACACTAGCAGGAAGACTATTCCATACTCTAACTACACGCTGTGTAAAGAAGTGTTCTTAAATTCAGTTTAAAATGTTCTACCACTGATTTCCACCTACGGCCACGAGTTCCAGTATTTAAACTAATATTAAAGTGGACATTTGGCTGAACAGCATCCAGACCTGTTAGAATCTTATATACTTGGATCATGTCCCCCCTTAGTCTCCTTTGCTCGAGGCTGAACAGATTCAGCTCAGCTAACCTCTCCTCATAAGACATTCCTCTAAGACCAGGAATCATTCTTGTAGCCCTACGCTGAACCTTTTCCAAGGCAGCAATGACCATTCACTCCTCTACCTGCCACTGACAGGCCCAGGTTCCTTTGCTGGTGCTGAAATGCATGGCAGATGGACCCACTTACCCTCTACAGGACACAAAACCTATATCACAATATCACAGCATGTAAACACATTATATAAAATGTACAGAATAATCAGCCGCATTAAAGATTTGTTCCTATGTAATATTAAAGGGCAATATTTTACAGCTGCCAGACAATATGAAATAAGTGTAGCAGGGAGGTAAGGAGCATGCAAAGATACAGCATGTTGCCACACGACAAGCCACCTCAGGGATGAGAACCTGAGTGCAGCCATGAGGCAGGTGATACCTCAGTATAACACTAGCCCAAACGGACCAGTGTGAGGTTTCCTGCCACCAACCACCAAGTCATTTCCTGTAAGTTGGGGGCCTTCCTTATACGGCTAGATGTAGATTAATATCATACCCAAGACGAAACAATTGCAGGTGAAGCACCTTTCTCAAGGGTCCAATAGAGCAGAATGACTCTGAGCTTTCATGGGATTTGAACCAATAACCTTCCAGTTACAAACACAGATCCCTAGCCTCAGAGCCACCACTCCATCCAGGGGGATAGAGAAAGAAAAGAAAATAAGACCACAAATAAGTGTTTAGCCAAGTTTAACACAAATAAAAATCCTCTGAAGACCCAATGACCCAATTCTTTAGCAAGGAAGTCTATGGTTAGATACAGGCACCCATCCGGCCTCATGGTGTGAGGTTTAGCAAACTTACTTTCCACTGTGTGGCAACAACACACTGAGAGCCGGGCAATCAAAACAACAGCCTGCATGCAAAACACAAAAATCTATTACATGGAACACTATCGATTTCTGTCACCTCGCATGTTTTCAGCCTGTTGGGGGCCGCTTGTTCTGAGGTGTTATTTCATCAAGTGTGGAACATTCTTTACCCAGCAGATGGCAGTGTTGAGTACTCGGCACTTTTCCAGCTGAAGATGTACAGAAACAGTAAGAAACACTTTGAAGTTGTCTCGTTGGTAGATTTGATCATAATGGCAACCACTATCCCTCACAGATGGGTTGGACTACTTTGGTACGCAAGACATCCATTTGTCTCCGTATTTCTTCAAGTCAAACCCCGTGTGGTTCCCTCTAATATTCATGCAAATGAGATGCTATATTTACCCAACCCTCCCTCTGCTAGCCACTTATTCCACACTGGGTCATGGGGAGGTCTGCACCCTTTCCCAGGCAGTATAGGGTATAGGGCAGGGGTACACACTGGGTCATGGGGAGGTCTGCACCCTTTCCCAGGCAGTATAGAGTATAGGGCAGGTACACACTGGGTGGGATGCTAGTCCCACTTGCCTAGGCAAAATCACACATTCACTCACACATTATGGGCAATTTAGAGATGCCAGTTAATATACCCAAACATCTTAGGACTACAGAGAAAGCCTGTATCACATGGGGAAACCATGCAAACTCCAATGTAAATCCACAGCCCTGGAGATGTGAGGTGTCAGTGTTTCCCATCCCAGTCCTTGGGGACCCCTAGCAGTCTACGTTTTTGTTCCCTCCCAGATCCTAAGAGCACCAAATTTCTTTGTTAAAATTTTTACAGATACATTTTTTTTTTCAATTTTTACTCATTTCACCCACAAGAAACGGGGTTAAAGGACTCTCCTTCCAGGTAACTACTTATGTCAACATAAATCACAAAAGCATTTAACTTATGTGCTGCTTTATTGTTGGCTGGGTCAGTTCCTCAGTGCTTTTTCAAACATTGTGGCTTCCTGTCACCTACACTTAGCGTCCATTCGCTGAAACACATTTCTCTGCACACTGTTTTTTTTTTCAATTTCTGAGGAAACCTTTGCTATCGCACCAGTATTCTTGGTAATCTGATCCCCAGAAATACACAGAGATACCATCATTCCTCGTCACTCATGACAGCTCATTCCCCACTTTATGCTGATGGACGTATTTTCTTCAAATCTCCACATTTTTTGCCATGTATCCTTACGAAATAAAACAAACCACAAGAACAATCAAAAGGAAATATTTATTGCATCAAAAAATAATTACAGGCATCGAACATTGCAAGTTTCCAGTGAACATTTCCAGTAAACCTTCTTTGTCAGTAAAGCATGCAGTGATTATTCTAAATGGTGTTTGATGTCTTTATGCACTGTAGGTCTGTGATATACAGGAATACAAAGACCCTTCTACAGTTGTTCGTAAAACTTAAGAGCAGACATACAGGTGAGGATAAGGCATTGCACAGGAAAACTTGTTTTATATAATCATTTGAACACAAAATGTCAACAAAGAAAATCTGCCCAGAGTTAAAATACACACCATAGTCCTTAGCTAGTGGATCATACATGTACCAGGAGCTGGCAAAGAAAACAACATAATAAAATAATAAAAATTAAAAAAGCGGTACTAAAATGTCGGGGGGAAAAAATAAGAAGAAATAAAATTTGTTGCCAGATAGAGGAAAGCTGAGAAGATCCTTTAAACTAGGCCTGGCGGTAGATTCTCAGGAACAGGGGGTGACACTGACAGAGAGGGCACCATCGAAGGGCGCTCTGATTGGTCGGTCTGAACAGAGACCCAGCCAGTAGCATCCGAGAAGGCGGGGCACTCACGCACAAGACAGGCAGGCTCAGAGTAGTTAGGCTGGAAACCTTCCTTAAACTCCTTGGAGATGTGCAGCCACTCCTGTGAGGGGTGTAGGTGGGCAGTCAGAGTCAGGACAAGGCTGAACAGTGCAGGTATTTGATTTTAAGCACCACTATGAAGGGGATTTATGCCACAGAAATGCAAAGCAACGTTTGATCTTGAAAATGACACTTTTATATAGGAATAACACCAGGATCATAAAACAGCCTGAGACCATGTTGACGACAATTCAATGTATGTGTATATAGACAGTCCCTGGGTTACGAATGAGATCCAGCACCCAAGTCTGTTTTTATGTTGAATTTGTAGCTATGTCAAATCAATAATAATACAGTACATAGTAATAATAACAATTATTATACAGTACTAATTAAAAAGTAATAAAAAATAACTACATACGGTACTGTATTCCTCGAGCCAATGAACCGTTTTTCACGAGCTTGACAAAGTAGTGCGTACATTTGTTATTACTGTATTTAACTCAAATTTTGAATATAATAGGTTATATGGCAGTCTCTTCGTAAGTACGAGTTGTCCATAAGCCGGGAACCGCTCCTATACAGTATGTGTATGAATATGTGTGTAATATACACACACACACACACACACACACACACAGACACACACACACACTCACACGCACACGCACACACACACACACACACACACGTTAGCATGCGTGAGTTAGCAGGCAGCGTGTGGCCCAGTGGGCTAATCCTGTGTGCCTGTAATCAGAAGGTCGCCGGTTTAAACCCAGCCTCAGCATTTCTGCGGGTCCTTGAGCAAGGCCCTTAACCCCTCAGCTCCCTGGGTGCCGCTACGGGTGGTTGCCCTTTGCGGGCAGCTTTCTTACTTACAAAGAGCAAGTTGAAGGAAGCGTAAAAACAATTTCCCCACGGAGATTAATAAAGTGACGATTATTATTACATCTTCGTGGGGACCGTCCATTCATTTCTATGGGGAAAAACCCAAACCCCAACAATGACAACCTCAAACCCTATGCAGCCCAAAACTTAACCATAAGTAAGCAACCAAAATACAGTTCCTCTGAACTCAAAACTGCCTCTAACTGGACGTTGCACTATGATGCACCATTCTCTCCAAATTCTAGATAAGTATTGACTGGAACGTAGACAGGTGACTAGAGCCACTACATCTGTCACCAACAATCATACCACAATGAATATCACTTAGATCAGGCGTCTTAGCTGTTGTAATACTCAGCCACACAGTAACTGAATCTTTCAGTCCTGTCTGCATATTACTTCCTATTAAAATGGCTACTTATAGCACCCACACTCTTCGGTCCCTGTTTTCGAGCGTTGTTGCACATTTTACTCAATGCATATAATTGTGATGAACAATCAGGCTAGCCATGCTCAATATAATCCACATTCATAATTGACTACCTTCAACTCTTGCCATAAGAATGAAATTTACAGCATTCAAGTCACGTTATGCCTCAGTCAAATGACACTTCTCCATGTCTAAGATTCTGGTAAAGCTTTGGGTTCCAACAATGGGAAAAGCAGTGGGCAACGGTGAATCTTTTCCAGGTGAGGTTGCACTGCCAAGAAACTCTTCCAGCTCAACATGCAAGATCAACCAGGAAATCAGAAACTACAACAGCACTCAACAACAGTGTGGGATCCACAGTGATTTCTCGCGTACTCTGAAGTGGATGTTCATGATTTTCATGACAGTGGGCACAAACAGGATACGGGACGGAATGCGGGATGGAAAACTGCTTAGTAAGAGAGTAAATATTCCCCAAACCCAAAAGATGGCATTTCATATGAAGAACCTGTCAAGCAAGATGGTGGCACTCAGAGATTTGGAATTCTTTGCTTCATCTGAACCAGAAAGACTTTGAAGGAACACATGAATTCCACTCTTTGCCTGAGAAATCTACAGGTAATTGTCAGACTGCCCATCAGTAAGCTAAAACACAGCTAGACAGAGATCCAAGGGTTCTCCATGGTGGAGTCCACAGTACTATGTCAACCTGAACAACAGCTCCAGGAAGCACTGGCCGCTGATGTGTTGGGTGACATTAAGAAATATGTGGTGATTCATTCACTTAGATTCGATTTTGCTTGAAGATCTGATAACGTGTGTCACAGACATGCAGATCGTCAGACAGGAGACTCATAATTTCCTGCAGTAATATATTCATGCAGCATGGCCTCTGTTTGCTGCCCCGATACTGAAATATTATCCTAACTGCAGTAAACAGGGCTAATTCTATAGGAGGTAAAATTGTATCATGATTTTTTGTACTATATGAAAAAACAGCTTATCTTAGTCGGCATTCAGAGCACCAACCCTGCAGTTATGGGGCAACAGTGCTACCCAGTGAAGCACCATGCCAACCAGAGATGTACAGAGATGAAGCAAGGGGGTCACATGGCGATAGAGAAAGCCCTGGACAAAATAGCTACCTCAACGTTTCCATTGCAGGTTTTGAAGAGGTCCTCCAAGTTCTTGCCAGGGTTGGGAACAACAGGAACAAATATAATTCTAATTCTGGGAAATAGAGATGATACAACAGCTTAGGTGAGTTGGCTCACAGACTCAATTGTGATTGAGTATCATCTTTCTACTTGGTTCCATCATACACTGCAAACACACACTCACGGCACACGTCTGCCTGTTCCTGAATAACCCACCTTTCTCCATGAGTAAAGTAGATCACAACCATCACCACCATGATGATGCCCAGAACCAATACAGGTATGAGTGAGTAGAAAGTCTTCAAGGGGACAGGGGTGACAGCTGTGAAAGTAAGGTTGGGGGAGGCAAATACAATGAAAACCATGTCAATGATGCTTCTTTCCAATTCCAATGGGGATCTGCTTGATATCTATGGCGGAAAGTGATGATGCACCACAGACTCCCTCAAGGAACAGTGTTTGTAACGGAGTGAAAGCTGGTGCATTCACAATCCAGAAGCTGACTGTTGAAAAAGCTTCTGAACAACCTTTTACTGTAAAGATGTTCAAATCCAGGCGATATAACTGACAGCGAAGCCCCTCCCCGAAATCAGTAAATACGCCGTCTCCACGGAAACAATGGCCTGCTGCCTGCATCTGCACCGCTGCTGTACCTGTTGTGTTGCCCCAGAAGATCGGCACACTCCAGTCGCTCCAGAACTTGGACTGGCCACATGAATATGATACCCGGACCCTCACTTGGAGCTCATACTGATGCTTCAGGGAAATCTGAGGCAAGCTGTACGATGAAGCCGACGTCGAAGTCAAAACAGACTGAGAGGAGAAGGTGAGAGGCAAAAAAACATAAATTATTTTTGATATCTCAGCCATGGTTGCTCCCCTTATGCTAGAGCCCTGCTGGTTCTTACACGCCACTGATCATCCTGCTTCCTGTAGCGCACTTCACTCTCCGTACAGGTGCTTTTTGTACTGGTGTTCCAGTATAACCAGAGCTCCAGGTTTGTACTGTTCACCACCACAGAGAGATTAAGCGGTGGGTTTAGTTTCACTAGAGAGAGAGGAACACAGACTGGGCAGTCAGTGAGGCAGATGGGCAGTGAGGGTGATGTAAGAGGGGTATTGGGGGGGGGGGCAGAGAGACTGCTACAGCAGGGTTATGAAAGTACAGCGAATTGGGGGAAATCAGCGGCAGATAATAGGGGCGACGGGGTCTGACTTTACCCCGCTCCTTCATTTCAGTGGTCTGTTCCTTCATGACATTGTTGTCACCAGACAGTCTGGTGTGCAGTGGAGAAAACTTATCGTTTATTTCATGTGGCAGTCTGCAGCCCACGTTGTAACCACCCTCCCGCAGGTACTGGGGGCAGTCACGGAAGGGCAGTCTGGAACCCAGCCTGCAAGGTACAACACTCCATTGAGAACAGGCGTTTTTTGGCTTTTAAAATCAAATTCTCTCAGCTGTCAGATAATCGTGCACAGAAAAACACATGTGCATAAACACACATTGACACAAACAGCAAACTATATTATATATAAATAAAGCTAAGATTTTCATTTTTTTCACATTTAAATTATATAAAAGATATTTGGCCCGATTTTTCTGGCCCATATTATAAGCGAGACCTGAGACTTTGTTATAGTCATTGTCATAACTTTTAGTTTATCGTAAGACTTTTTAACTTCTTGACTTTATTCTTAATTCTATTTTTGATTTGCACAGTCTAAGGGTCATTCAGGGTACATTTCACTACATGTTGTACTTGTATAACTATGTATGTGACAAATAAAGAATATTGAATTTCCAGATTTCAGAGGTCACCTGCTCTGGAAGGTGAAATTGAGCTCTGGGTTGCTCCCACGGTCCCACGTGCAGTCTGTGTGCTCAAGGTTGACGATGAGACAGCTCACATCTGCAAAGATCAGTATTGGTCAGTCTCTGGCAAATATTCTCAAATAAGCAAGTAAAGCTAATTTCCACCACTTCTTACTGCGGACAGACTAGAATGTAGAGCAGAATCCCTATTGGTCAACCCAAAAATAAACAAACAAACACACATGTAATACAAATAGGGCTGCAACGACTAATCGACTAAATCGATTATTAAAATAGTTGGCAACTAATTTAATAATCGATTAGTTGGTTCTACGTTATTGTACACATAAGTATACAGTGGCTGCCCCCTAATTTGGGAGCAGTAAGCTAACCAAAACCGCGGTGGCAGTAAAGCACCATTAAGCTGGATGCCGACCGCCATAAAAGAAAAAGGGTACAAGAACCAATGACGTGCCTTGACTAACTTACGTGATGAATTCTGGAAGAATTGAAAAAAAAAACGTTTGAAAAATGTCGGAGGCGGACACAGCAGTCTTGTTTTAATTCTGCCAGAAACAGTAGTATTTGACGGTAATTCGCTGAAATTAGGTCGGAGAGACACTGATGTATTATGTGATGTTGTTGAGTTTTTTGGATTATTTTATCTAATTATTCGGATTAATTAACGCAAATCCTTCATTCAGTGGTCTAGTGGAGGGTAAATGCACATAAACGCCGTTTACGCACCTTTTAAATTTAGAAAACATTGTTTACTCACCTTCTTTGAGATCACTAATGTTAATGTGCATATAGTTTACCCACTTTTACCTTCTTGTTACCACTACATAACTGCTTCATTTCTCCATAATAAAAATTTATAGTAATATCAAATGTTGTAGTAGGCTACTCAAAACCGGTTTTTGAAGGTCTCGATTTTGTCATTGAATCAGTCGTATTTGTACTCGTTCTTGTCATGGACTCGGGATTTTATTTCGAGACCAGCCGAGACCACAACTCCGAAAATATTCTTATTAATGAGCCGTTTAGTGTCGGATTGGATAACTTCTCACTTCAAGTGCATCCTATGACGTTACTGCCGACCGCGTTACCCACCCCCGCCCCTTCACTCACACATGCGTGTGCACATGAACACCTGTGAAATCGTGGTTGTCTGGGAAAGATGTCAACACAATCGGCTATTATCAACCACATAATATACCACAAAGTGTTTACCCTACCATTCTACTGGGGTGGCAAGTTAATTTTATTTAATTTTATTTTATATTAATCACAGCCAGATATAGCCAGATCACAACAGAAGTCATTTAAGGCTACCTTTCCTATAGAACAGGTGTATTGGCCAGTTTCCCAGTCAAGGATTAAGCCTAAACCTAGACTAGCTTTGAGTTTCAATGGTGAATCTCCATTGATACTGCAATTTAGTCCAAGACTAGGCTTAATCCTTGTTTGGGAAACTGGCCCTTTATCTTTTATCTTTAGATAATGACTTTAATCTCAGAATTCTGACTTCAATCTCCGAATTCTGAATTTAGAAAAAAAGTCAGAATTCTGAGATTAAAGTCAGAATTCTGAGAAAAAAGTCAGAATTCTGAGATTAAAGTCAGAATTCTGAGATTAAAGTCAGAATTCTGAGAAAAAAGTCAGAATTCAAATAATATTTTCATGGTGGCCCTAATCCTCTTCCGTACTCTCCCCCGTTACATATGTGTATCAACATTAAATAACATTAGAGAATTATTTAATAATATTCTTAGCAGCAGCAGCGGTAGTCTGTCAAAAAAAATATTTTGTGTTTTTCATTACATTGATTCAGCTGCGACATAATTATTTTTTGTACTCTTAATGTACATTTATTTTTTTATGTGAGTTTCTGGAAACAACCTTTGTACAAAGACAGTTCAGGTTATTAAAAAATGCTGGAAATCGAATTGGTCCCCCACCCCCTTAATAATTGATTAATCGAAAAAGAAAAGGAAAAAAAATCGACAAATTAAGCGATTATCAAAATAATCGTTAGTTGCAGCCCTAAATACAAATTTTCACCAGAATCTTTTTTCCCCTCCCACGTCCTGCTGTCATGTCGGTCTGTCTGATACTTTAAACTTGCAATGGAAATTAAAAATAAATTCATCCTCCGTAGAGGCAGGGTGGTGGAGGGAGCATAAACAAACAAACCAAAAAATAAATACTTCAATGCTCCCATCCTAAAAGAGTCCACTGACTGCTACATCGTTACAAACTCCTCACCATTACTTTTTCTGTAGCTGCTATCAGACAAACGAAACAGTCCAGCAGATGATGGCCGAGGGCCCATGGGTGGGGGTCCTCTAAGCACAGAGAGCCCCCTGTCATGTGCTGCCACAGTGACGGAAATCAAATTGCAAACTAGGAGTTACTTAGTATCAGCGCTAATCGAAGTTCATGCCAAGGGTGAGCTTCATCAGCAGCTCTACATGGATTGATCAGCACCGCTCAGTATTACTGGTAGACAACTGTCACATGCAAATCATTCTTCCCATTACAGACTCTATGCTGACACCCACGGCTTTAAACATCAGGTTACCGCCAGACACTAAACATACGGAAATTCCCCTGGCACTGTCGTTCTGTGTTTGGCATTGTGACTTGAGTTTATGATAAAATTAATCAGATTCAAACACACTGACATTTAATATGACCTGTACATTTCTTCGGCACATCTATACGACACTAATACACTACTAATGGCTACCTTGTCTCCTTAATTTATGAAAAATAATTTTACCATAATTGAGCACCATGACATTCATTAAACGTCACTCAATAAAAAGTGAAACTGATGCAGTAATTCGGCTAAGGAATAACCCAGATATGAGAACCAGCGATTAATGCTCTGCTGATTTCAGCGCGGCGGTTCACAGGAAACGGCCCTTCGAGGTACAAAATGAACTGTGCATGAGTACAAACCACAGCTCAAAAAGTTAAGCTCTAATGGCTACTGGAACATCGCGAGCGGATCACAGCAGTGCGATGGTTGGCGTTAATACATTTTCTATTAGGAAAGATTTTTACATGACCAAACACACTCAGAACGAGGTGTTTCAGCTACGGGCTTCATCAGGATGAGCGCTGAACCTGGGAAAGTCAACTTGTGTGTTTGAGAAACGTTCCACTCACTTGTCGAAAGGGACAACCTGTGAAAGACAAAACATCTGTGCTGATGAAAAGAACGTACCTGGAATGAAGGCAGAGCCAAGTCCCAGGCCGGAGAACAAGAGGAGGAAAAGAAACATCATTAGGATTATCTGCCTGAGTAACAATAATAACGCAATGACATCCACATGCGGGTTAGTGCTGCGTTCTGCTCTCCATGCACCCCTCTTACAGGATGCAGGAAATGCGTCACTGCAAAAGTACCTCACTCGCTCCAAGCTGCAAAGGCCACTGCAACTCGCTTCTTCCTGCATTGAGTTTCAGTGCACAGCGATAATACAAAAAAATGTAAAAACAAATATGGCTGTGGGTGTCTGTTTTGGGATGATGTGAGGGGGATATAGGGCTCTCGAAGGAACAAACAGGCACACTTAGGTTTGCTACTACAACACTTTATGACAAGTAATCCGAAATAACCTTGCATTAAAATCAATTTTCAATTCTTTTATTGTCATGTGTATGAGTACCGTGTACAATGAAATGCTTGCTTGCATGTGCTCCTGCAGACAGTGAAAATAGACAACAAGACGGATAGACAACAGGACGACAAGTGAATGTAATGATAAAGTGAATTATAAATACGTAAATAAATAAATAAGACCAGAATCCCAGGAATAAATAGAGACAGAGACAGAAATATATGTGTGGGTAGCAGTGGAGGTAACACAAGGTTACTGATTGTTCATGAGTCTGATTGCAGTTGGGTAGAAACTGTTCCTGAACCTGGAGGTGAGCGTCCGAATGGACTTTAGTCACTTCCCAGATGGGAGGAGGGTGGAAAGTGACACGGCCTGATACGGTTCACTTCCCTGAGACAGCGTGTAGTGTGGATGTCGCGGATCACAGGGAGCTGTGTGCCCGTGATCTTCTGTGCTGAGGTCACCACACGGTGCAGAGCTCTGTTGTCCTGAACTGAGCAGTTTCTGTACCAGGATGTGATGCATCCTGTCAGGATGGATTCCACAGTACACCTGTAGAATCTGCACAGGGTTGTGGGGGACATCTGGGCTTTCTTCAGTCTCCTGAGGAAGTAGAGGCGTTGTTGTGCTCTCTTGACTATCGCCACAGCGTGACTTGACCATTTGAGGTCATCAGTGAGGGTGACTCCGAGGAACCTAAACCTGCTCCACAGCCTCACCTCCGATGTAGATGGGGCGGTGCTCTGTTGCCTGTTTGCTGAAATCCACAATCATCTCCTTAGTTTTGTTGACGTTGAGGGAGAGGTTGTTGTCCTGACACCATTCATCCAGGAGTCTGACCTCCTCCCTATAGGCCGTCTCATCGTCTTCGGCGGTATCGTCAGCAAACTGAAGGATGGTGTTGGAGCTGTACTTCGCTACACAGTCATGGGTGTAGAGAGAGTGAAGCAGGGGGCTCAACACACTGCCCTGCTGGGTGCCAGTGCTGATGGTGATGATGGAGGAGGTTTTTCCACCAATACGCACTGACTGAGGTCTGTCGGTGAGGTAATCCAGTACCCAGTTGCACAGTGAAGAGCTAAGCCCCAGATTCAGGAGTTTAGTGATGAGCTCGGATGGAATGACAGTGTTAAATGCGGAGCTGTAGTCCACAAACAGCAGACTGGCATAACAGGTCATGTTTTCCAGATGGGACAGGGTGGTGTGGAGTGTTATGGAGATGGCATCCTCCGTGGACCTGTTGCTACGATAAGCAAACTGGAAGGGGTCCGGACTGTCAGGGATGATGTCCTTGATGTGTTCTAGCACCAGCCTCTCGAAGCACTTCATGGCTATGGGAGTAAGTGCTACTGGGCAGTAATCATTAAGGCAGTCTATTTTATTTTTCTTAGGGACAGGGATGATGGCTGTGTGCTTGAAGCAGGTGGGGACAGATGAGACTCTCAGAGATGCATTAAAAATATCCGTAAAGACAGCAGCTAGCTGGTCGCAACATGTTTTTAAAACGCGACCTGAAACTCCGTCTGGGCCGGGTGCTTTACGGATGTTGAGTCGGGAAAAAGTCCTCCTCACGTCATCCTCGGAGAGCCTCAGGCTGGAGTCTTGCGGAGCTGCGGGGGGACGCACGGGCTTGTCCATGTTAGCGAGCTCAAAGCGAGCGAAAAACACGTTCAACTCGCCCGGGAGTGAAGCGGCGGTAGTTGTGGCCGCGTGTCCGGGGTTTGTAGTCCGTGATATCAATACCAAAATATTGGATCAAAGGCAATGCAAAATAATCCCGTATCACACGTGATATCCAATAATATTATACACTCACCTAAAGGATTATTAGGAACACCTGTTCAATTTCTCATTAATGCAATTATCTAATCAACCAATCACATGGCAGTTGCTTCAATGCATTTAGGGGTGTGG